AACAACATTTCAATTACAGATTCGAGTTCCATAAAAGAAGAAGTTCCATTTATATGATTTTTAATAATCCCATTGTACGATTCGACCCGTTGAGTGCTTTGTATTCCTGCATTAAATGCACGATGTGTAAAGTACAGTATCCAGGCTTCTCGACAACGATAAAGCTGACGTTATAAGTAATTGGTGACATCATCATATTCAGATAATAGTTTAGCCCATCTTTCCTCAAAATTGATTCTACACAGCTATTTCGTGTATGACAAAATGTCGCAAAGAATTTGTTTCACTTTTTGCCATAATATTTACCTAAAAAATGTTTCTCCAAATTCTTTTAGATATGAAACAAGCAAAAGTGATGCTTAGTTTTCGGCCAGGAATGATTTACCGTGGCAACCATCGCCAGATTGGCATCCGTATAGAGCAAACGTGGCATTAATCCACCTGTCGCACTGAGAAGGCTTTGAAATAACCATTCGAAGCTATCCTTTATTTTGTCTAAAAGGATGGCCATTGTTACAAAACGAAAGTGATTATAGTTGTCTACAATAATAATAACGCACAAAATCATAGAATGGCGATTTGTTTTCATGATGGTTTCAAGAAGAATGATGTCGTGGAAACGTGACCACAGTACTTGTTGAGATGGATACATCCAGCAGAGCTGAATAAGATGATTATCTTGGCTCTCAAATTGCGCATCAATATGAAAAGATAGATTTTTGTACTGCTGTTTTATGAGATCGACATACATAGAACCAGCATCACTTTTAACATGGTTTTTTTTGCAGTAGATAGAATTAACCAAATTATAAACGTTACGATCGTGAATATATTTTTCTAAATTTTTGTACTGCAAAACTTCAATAATTGCACCAGGGCGTACACCACATGCGACAAGTAACCTAACATCATCACGCATTTCTGAAGCAAATCTTCGATAACTGAACGTGAGAGTAGAAATATTTTCTACAAGTTCATGATTATGCTGGTTTTCGATCTTGGTGATATAAACTAGATTGTCATTCTTCCGGCGATATGCGTTAACATGAAATTTGCA